TGCTTTGGTAAATTGCAAGCCTGATATATTTTGTCATCTTGTAGCATTTGCTCTGCAAGATTGTGAAATGTCAATTAATATTCCCATTTTACATGTAGTTTTTCCATGGCCTTTCGAATTGGGAATCGGGTTTGTGTCAAGCTGTTTGGCAAAAAATAAGTGTAAATAAAGTTGGAAACCTTCCACCTGGCAATGTGGTTATATTTACCTTTGCCCGGGATGAGAAAAAAACTGAAAAACTGAATTGATTGAAAAGATAGATTAAAATCGAACAGAAAAATCGGTTAATCGAATTGATCGGTTCTGTTTCGGTTAACCAATATAAAAAATCGGTGATTAATTTAACCGACCGATATACATATCTTTCTATATATTTTTGTATATTATATATATTTTATTTTTATATATTATAAATTAATAAATATGTATTATATATAAATATATATTTATAATATATGATATATTATTTACTATTCAAAATATAATATTTTATATATTTTTATAATATATATTGTAAAAATTAAAAAATGAAAAACTGACGGTTAATCAATCGGTTTTAGTTACCACTTTTCCAAAAACGGATAGTACCAGTTTGGTTACAGAAAAATGCCCACTGTTCGGTTAACCAAACCATGAGCACCCCTACCCATGAAATTTGACCTCTGTTCGTGGGGTTTAATATTTTGAACTGAAAGACATTGCCACGTTGTCATGGGGCTAGTTGGTGCAGCATTCGATTGGGTTGTGTAAGCGTATAAAAGTAAGCAATAACATAAAAGTAACAAAGAAGACATATGGATTAGTCAAAAGGCACTTTATATTGCATAACATGGAAATACAAACACATGGGTTTGTGTTGAGGGGACCTCGTGCTTAATCCTTATACAATATTAGCACCACTCAACTAACTACCTCCCTTTAAAGAGTAAGTTAAATTTTTTGGAGAATGACAAAAAGAAGCATCACTAATGATGAAAAATCATACTAAAAATTACAATAATGACATTCGTATTCCCCCATACAATCATACTAAAAATTACAATAATGACATTTGTATTCCCCGTACAAAATACATATATTGCTCCACCCAAGAAACATTAGATGACACTCTGATTGCATATTAGGGGCACAGTCGATGACATGACAAAATGGTCACTTGTGACAACGTGATCAATTAAGAGTTGTAAAAAAAAATCAAAAAGCCATTTGTTTTGGCAACCATTTAAATTGAAATTTTGCTGGTGATTAGATGCATGTCATGGGAAAGATATTCCGTCTTAGATCCCTAGTATTATCAATTTCATAAAATACTAGGCATGCATTGGATAGATCTTGGGCTACTGTAGCTATATATACAGAATTTATGCAACATGGAGTATTGTATTGTATCGTGATGTACTGTCGTCTCCATTTCAATACATGAAATATTAAGTATATATTTTACAATTTTAATATTTTAGGGGGTAAGCTTGCTAAGACCAACCCCTTATACAATAATAAAAAAATGTGTCTATCAAGATATATCAATATTTTGATAATCACCTTGTATTTATGTAATGTTAATTAAGCAGTCTTAAGAATGCTTTTAATCATCCAAAGCTTCTGATTCAATACTACTGAATTGTTCTTAGACAGGTTAATACACAAAGATGTAGCATTTCTTATTTATTTGATTCCTATATACATCAAAATCAGCTGCGCTTTTCCTCAAGAGATCCTTTACAAGTTGTACTGCCCACATCAACTAGAATGAAGGAGAGTGAAAAATGATGGGAACAGAGGGGAAATTTTTAGTTGTTCTAAAAGGAGAAAGGAAGTGTATAGGAGATATGGGCTTAATATCTTTAATGTCTTTTTTTCATTATTATTATTTATAATTATTATAATAGAGCATGTTCAAAGGGTCCCCTACCTAATGGATTATTTAGATTAGTTATATCATATGTCCATTAAAGGAAAAGCGTATCTGATCTGATTCCACTTTGGGTTGCATTTGGCATTCCTTATTTTAAGGACTTATTTCCTTTTTGCAGTTAAGATGCCCTTATGAAAATTGAATTTTTAACAGAAAAAGGGAGATAAGTCCTTAATGAAAGAATTTTTCTTTTCAATATATTGATTCAACAAGGGCCCCTTATTACTACCCTTTTAATTTGGTTATAAGAACCCAAACCTCCTAATATAAATAAGAAAATAAGAAAAATAATAATAAGCCCAAAAAAAGAAAGAATAAACAAAAAACATAAACAATCAATTCCACTCCTTATATTATTCTTCTAAAAATTAAAAGATCCAGCCCAAGCTTGTATGCGTAGTGGAAAATATGTATTATTCATGAAATGGTTAATAATTCTGCAACTTAAATTTTTATCTAAAGTTAACAAAAGATGAGCAAACAGGGCAGCAATGTACAGTCACATTCGCATGTCTATGACTTTTGTTAAGTCAGTGTCATAGTTAGTTACTGGTGAGAGGATTTGAACCACATAATTTGAAGTGCATTTGAAAGAATGTGTTGATGTGTAATTTATCAATAAATTCAATTTTCTACATACTAAATAGTAAATACAGGCAGCAGAGGGACCAATGGAAGATTTTCTTCCCTACGCATCAACTGGTCACTGCAGCTTCAACCCATTAAGAACATCTATCTGCCGACGTATATATATAGAACATCTATCTGTAGCAACTAGCAAGAGGGACGATGATGGGACCTTTTGCCTTACAAGCACAGATTGTCCTCTAGCTAGGGGACCTGGCCCAATAGATTTGTGAGCACTGGTTTGAAAGCTACTTATACTTGGACATACTCTATATTATTGACAGCATACCTGATACATTGTGACAAGGTCTCCATCGAGACGTCTGTACTCCCAACATGCACAGGAATGATTCATAAATGGTGTACGTAGCCTACCTCTTCATCTTAAAAATTATTTCATCCATTCTTCTGGTCTACCTGTATATATTATCATGATCATCTGATCAATTCGGATAAGAAGTTTATGGGTTTTAGCTGTTTTCTTCTGGGTCTATCTCTAAAATTAAATATCTATACCCTACATGCAGCAGTTGGGTATTCTCTATTTATCTTCTTTCATAGAATATCTGTCTCATCTGTTGATTTGCTTACCTTACAAATATATAATATATATATATATATATTATATATGGGTTTTACTCTAGCCACCATTTCTTTATATATGGCTATCTTTCATTCCAATCAATAATAGAAGAAGAAGCCCAAATTAAAAGTGTCTTCAAAAAAATAAAAAACAAAACCCTAGGCCGGTAAATTAATTAGGGAGTTTCCCTAGGAAGACTAGAAGAAATGGTTGACTTGTTTCATTCAGGATTCCATCAGAAATAAGAAGTTCAACGGTTTAGCCATGTACCCAATAGTAAAGTAGAAAGAGATGATGAAAGAAATGAAAAAAAAAAAAAAAACAAAGATTGTGTCTTATAGAAACAAACTTTTTCTTTTAGGGATCTAATAATTTCTCTCTGTATTTATCCTAAAGACAAAAAACTTAGTTTTGCTCTTTTCAATATATCTGATTAACATGCCTACCCCAATCCCTCCTAGTTGAGATTTAATCTTTATCTTCCGGTTGGTGAATTTACTGTTTCTCTTTACCTTTTGGTAGGAACGGATAGAGACGTCCATAAAATTCTGAAATGTGGGGAAGAACAGTGAATGACTAAGAATATATACCTATATTCTATCTTGCAAACCCTATATATTTATATCCATTTGCGCAATTGCACTGCAGAGAGTGAATTAAATATTGCCTGATCCACAGTTTTTCAAGTAATCATTGCTTGCTCATGTAAGCTAGTCACCACACCAATAGTTGAAGTTGAATGAGAGAGGTAATATCATCCCTATCTGTCTGTGAGTCTGTGGTTGATAACCCCAAGCCAGTTCCAAATTTCAAAGCTCGGTCCCAGGAGTAAAAAGCTAAAAACTCCTAGTCCTTAGCTTCTTTAGGTAGTTCCGCAGGTCACGAGAAATGCGTACCAAATTCGGGACATACGTGGCCTTTGAAGAACAATTTTGTTTCTTTGTCTGTAACTTGGCTTTCTATACAACTATGTTACAAAAGAGAAAACTGAAGAAAGAAATAAAGCTGACCAACACTTGTAATTTTCACTGAGTACATGAAAAAAAAACTTGTAATTTTCACTGAGGATGGTAAAAGAAAGGAGAGAAGCTCAAGAAGAGAAGAGTGATGGACATGAACACAGTAAGGTAAGCTATATGGGGCCTGTATGGGGCTGTCTCTGTCCCTTGCCTGTACACGCATTCAATGCCTTTTGGCAAGACTAAGGAGCGAAAGATGCTCCCATGCAATTCTAGCACATCTCTCATCCCCACAATCCCCTAAAATTCATCTCTCATTCCAAAAACCATTTATTGCACCACGGAAACTATTCTATACTCCGTTGGGCTATTGGGCCGGCATCATGGTCCCTTCCTCCTGGCCCACTAAGGCAACGATCTCTCAATATCTCATCACTCATATGGGGAACTGGAGTAAGGTCGGTCGGTGTTCTGCACCGCCACTGTGAGTCTGTGGCACGCAGCTGTGTGCCACCTAGCTCACTTATGTGCCCAAGGGTGTTCAATGCACTATGATGAGTGATCTAAGCCCAACCCATCAATCTGATGGATTTACTTTGATGATCAGATCAAATCATCTGGTCTGATAAAACCTAATCAGGTGGGCCAAGCTCTACGGAACAAGATGTGTGGGCATCAATGCTCCAATGAAGTCCCCACCTTTGCCTTTGATTGTATGGCACCTACAATGAGTGGCAGGGTGAAATTTTGCAGATAGGGTTTCTGGCATTCTTAGGTGTAGTTGTATTCTGCACTTCTTTTGGTTTATCCTTTTAACTTGTTTGCTTGGGTGTCATAAAGTCACGTGAATACACCTTTTAGGGCTCTCTCTCCCCCCCCCCCCTCTCTCTCTCTCTCTCTCTCTCTCTCTTCTTCCTCTTTTAAATTAGATTTACCACTCTATTGATCAGGCCCTTTTAGCATTTTTTTTTTAAACTTTCCCATCTTCCAATCTAATATCTCGTCCTTCTGTGCTGGTCAACAACAAGATTTTTCGTTTTTTCATCATTCTCTTCCCCCATGAATCCAATTTATCTGAATCTGAATCTGAATCCATCACTCTCCTCTTTTCCTCTCGTAGAGCCCAATGATGAGGATCAGCAGTACTGTCAACTCTTTAGTCCTCCACCATCTCAAACTAATTCTTCTCTTCACTCCACTCCCCTTTCCTTCAACTCGGCTCGAGAAGGAGGCAGCCATGACCATGAGGCCCATGATAGAGAACAACAAGAACAGCAGCAACGGCAAGAGGTGAGTGCAAAAGGGTTTATGTAATTGAATTTTGGACGCTTTGGACTATGTGATCTGAACTGATCCATATATATATCTTTGTCGATTTTAGGCTGATAAGGGTAGTGAAGGTTATCATCTGGACTTCCCATATCCTCCACTTCAATCTTCGAAGAACGGCATAAACAGCAGCCTCGAATTGTCCATTAAGCAGGAAATTCGGGATGAGAGCCAAAGCAACAGTACTGGTTCAGCGAGGTGGATGTCTTCGAAGATGAGGCTGATGAGGAAGATGATGAATTCAGATCGAATGGGTGCAGACAAACCAGCTTCTGGAAATACGCAGAAGTTTCAGGATCATCATCAGCAACCATCTTCATTGGAGATGGACAGCAGCAGCAGCAACAGCTCCTCCAACAATAGCAACATCACTGTTAGAGTCTGCTCAGATTGCAATACAACCAAGACCCCTCTATGGAGGAGTGGCCCTAGAGGACCCAAGGTAATTCACCCTCATCTCTGTGGCTTTATCAATATCCAAGAATCGTTTTCTTATCTTTTCAAGTGGTGCAGTCACTATGCAACGCCTGTGGAATTCGGCAACGTAAAGCCAGGCGGGCCATGGCGGCAGCAGCTGCAAGTGGTACACTTCTTCCTGCAGATACACCATCTTTGCAGAGAAAGGTGCACCACAAGGAGAAGAGATCAGAAACTGGGTACGTCCCACAGTACAAGAAACGTTGCAAACTGGCTCCCTCTCCTCGCAGCAGGAAGAAACTTTGTTTTGAGGATTTCACTATAAACCTGAGTAAGAACTCGGCTTTTCATCGAGTATTCCCACAAGATGAGAAGGAAGCGGCGATCCTGCTAATGGCTCTATCTTGTGGCCTTGTTCATGGCTGAATCTCTCTTGTCCTTTTCTCCTTGTCCCTCTTTTTGGTTTCTTTTTATTGATTATTAGAAGCTTTAAATTGTTTTTTTTTAGCTATAGTAGAGCAAATGTTTGTGTGTAGTGACTGAGAATGTGTGTGTGAGAGAGAGTGAGAGCAAGAGGGAACATTAATAGCAGGTGAGGTACAAAAACTAATAAAAGCATAAATAAATTCGTTGTTAACCTGTTTAATTATTTTTCGTCTTGTGACATCTTTTCTTGTTTTGTGATGACCAGCAACTTGAATATTTAGGGTTTCCAAGTCACAAGGCTCAGGAATCTCTTGCTTATTCCTATGCCTTTTCTTTTTCTCCTTTTCAGCTTCACCAGCTTTTTTTTTCCTTGTTTCATCTTTGAAGAAAAAAGAAGATAAGGGTTCTCCGCTTCATGAATAAAAGAACGTAAGAGAGTGCAAGTTAAGGATGTTTTGTTACTCAACAGAAAAGATGGAATTCTGAATATATGAAGCCATTGTTTGAATGGAACATCTCCCAACAACAAAGACAGATGCCAAAAAAGTAGAGCAACCCCACATCCTAGATTTTGGAAATGGGGAATAAAAGATGCGACCAGGCATTCAATTCACGTGTAAACTTTGCATGCTGATTACAGTATCAAATTTGAGTGTTGAAGATTAACCGACTCAACCCAGTCTCTAGAAAAGTGTTTTGGTACCGTGATCTTCACAGTGTTTGTGTTTTTCAGACAGATAGGTAGGCCGGAAGGGCTTTAATCATAGAGGAGGTGGAGCCAAGGAAAAGTAGCACCTCTCTCTCTCTCTCTCTCTCTCTCTCTGCCACCTATTGGTTCATCGGCACTTCTGTGAACACAAGTACAAAGGAGGAGCAATGACCATAAGTACCACAAATTTCTTCTTTGGTCAATGGAAGCTATCAACTCCACAGTCAGGGAAGAAATAATTTTGTGGCTTCTGTTGGATTTAAACCGTAAGATGGTCGCAGTGTCCTTGCTCTTTGGCTTCTGAAAAGCTGGTAGTAATTCTGTAATTGAAGTCCTAATGCAGCTGAACGAGTTAACCAGACTACCAGAGCATTGGTTTCTAGGGGGAAAAAACTGCATGTCTTTTGTGCATGATGAGGATACCCTTCTTTGGTAGAAGGTGATACCCTTTGATCTTTTCCTTCCCTTTCCCTTCTCCTTCTCTTTCCTCTTCTTTTTTCAATTTCACTGTGAAGATCTTGAAGCAATAAATACTAGGTACTAAAGCAAGTGAAGATCTTGAAGGACCTAAGTACTGAGTTTTGATTTTCTCTCTCTCTTTTTTTTTGATGGGTAAGTGAGTTTTGATTATGGTGTCAATTTCAACAAGAAATAATTATAAATCAATGAGCTAGAGTTGCAAAGCCTAACAACATAAGCTTATTTTAATTTGCAGATTAACCTTCAATGTACTATGTTATTATGGGTATGTGTGTACTGACAAGCAGTACCCCAAGCAACACTACCTTCAGTTCTGAGAAGATCCATTCAAGACATGCTCCAATTAAATTTGTTCAAGGTGGGATTGCCTTCATTTTTAATGGAAGCATGCCTTAAAATACTAAGGCCATCTTTGGGAGTGCTTAAGTTAAAAATAAATACTTATTGAATAAGTGCTTAAAAACAAGTGCTTATTCAAATAAGCACTTATTTGTATTTGGCACCCAACTTTTTCAAGTGCTTATTTTTTATATTGGGTGTTTGGTAGTCTTTTTCTCTAATAAGCACTTAAATAAGTATTTGTGACTATTTTGTCCTTCATTTTCTTTCAAATTTTCAAAATATACCCTTTGAAAGCATTTTTGTGAAAGTATTTTTACAAAAGAACTTTTATAAAAGCACTTTTAAAAAAATACTTTTATGATATCATTTTTATAAAAGCACTTTTATAAGTTTTATAAAGTGCTTTCATAAAAGCACTTTTGCAAAAATGCTTTTCTAAATGTGCTTTTTGTAAAAATGCTTTCATAAAAGTACTTTCTTAAAAGCATTCGTAAAAGTACTTTTATGAAAGTGCTTTCATAAAAGTACTTTTATAAAAATGCTTTCATGAAAGTACTTCTATAAAATTCAACTAGGGATAATTTTATAAGTGGTATTTTAAAATTGAACTAGGGTAAACACTTAAAAAAACTGGAAATTTGGACTTAAAAAATAAGCCATTATTTTTAAAATAAGAACTTATATTGGGCTTATTTCCCAAATACCAATAAGTGCTTAATGGCCCAAATAAGCACTTATTTTTAAGCACTCCCAAACATGGTCTAAGAGTAACAAACAAACAACATTGCATTATACACATGCATGCATGGATAATTCTGAGGAATAAGTTTATACTGAATTTCTGATTATAACTTTCTTCAATTCCTAACAATTTGCTTATTCGTTTTGTTTACTAAAATATATAGGCTAGTATAGCTTAAGAAGGATTACTTCTTTTTGCTATAAAAATGTATAGTAAAAGCTATACATTTTTATTTGGGCATAGAGTATTTGAGTAGTAGATAAATTCCACTAAACTCATCCCCCACCCCCCAAGGCTACAACTTGGGTCGGGTTGGCCCGAACCCAACCTGAAAAAGACGGGTCGGGTTGGGTTGGGTTGGGTTGATGCTCAGGTTAAGGTTAGGGTTGAAATTTATGAACCCGACTTTACTTCGAGTTGGGTTAGGGTTGACCCCTCGGGCAACCCAACTCAACCCAAACTTGACTACATAGTACATATCATATATAAATATATGATATATATATATAATATCATACATTGATTTGTTTAGATGCATGATAGTTGTATAGCCCCCACCACATACTATCATTTATTTCTTTTAAGATAATCACTTCACTTAATTCTAATTGGAAATACTAAAACCTTAATAACATATTTTATTTTTTCTGAATATTTTATTCTTTATTTCCTCTCTTTTGCTTGCCACCCATAGCTTGGTGCCTATAAAAGATCTATTATAAGCCATAACTCATAATAAACTATAGTCATTTCAAACACTTTTTTTTCTGAATTTTATACTTAGAAAACCAATAAAAATATTAACAAACAAATACTAATAAAACATAGGATTAATATATGTAGTGAAAGTTGAGTTTAAGATCTTAGATTAAGAAGTTCTAAAATATTTTAAGGGATGGGAAGAAAGTTGGGTTGGGTTAGGGTTAAAGGTATTTAGTTAGGGTTAGGGTTGGATAGGTCGGGTTGAAAGTTGGGTTAGGGTTAGGGTTGGGGTTTAGAACTTAGGATTGGGCTAGGGTTGGCCTCAACACCCGACCTTACCCGGCCTGACTTGCAGCCCTACCACCCCCTCATTCAAGAAGATCGCTGATCTCTCATTCTCTCTCCACCTCCCCCCCCCCCTTCATATTGAACCTAATCTTCATTCCAGAATATTAAAAAGAATATCTTTTAGAATAAAATCAATTTGTTCACTAGACTCTAAGGTTTACAAAACGAAATTTCATGGAAGTTTGGAATTTCCATAATAATATATAGTAATTTTAATTTTATTGTTATATTCAATTAATATAAATTCTGAAACATTAAAAAAGTTTAGAATTTCATGGCCCGAATTTCAGTCGTTTCAATTGAATAATGCCTAATTTTCTTGTTTGTTATACTTTTAATTTATTTTATCATATAATAAACTTTTTTACTTTTTCTTCAAATGTTTTTCGATAGATGCTGCAATAGAAGAATTTAAATTATAAAAGATATTTTGATAGCTAAAACAATTTAAATGTAAAAGAAGCTTTAGTGGCAGCCGATCAGTTCTCTAGCCTTCTAATTTAAGGTTGAGTCCAATTCATTAGGACGACCCTTATATATATATCATAAACTTAACAATTTACTCTTTGCCTGTCTAGACAAATGATAAAGTAGAAGTTGGTAGAACCATTTTCATCTCTCATATTTTTCTATAAAAATTTTGGCTTGTTTCTCAAGTTCACAAAATTTTACTCTTCTTTTTTAAAAGTTTGGATTATCAAGAAAATATAAAACAATCCAAAACAGTTCAAAGACCAAAACATAGTTCCTTTTATTTTGGTTCCCCTTTAATTATCCTTTAAAAATTAAAACTGTGTATTGGGGTCGTTAAGGGGAAGGGGTTTTAACTGTTCAGTCCACCCTTAGAAATCTTAGCTCCACCCTAGGGGTGGAATGAATCCTGATCGTGGATTGATGCCAAATCCACAAGTAGGATGCAATTTATAGAGGGAGGGGGGGCTATTAGTAGACTAGGAGGTGGCTGTAATTTCAGATTTCAGAGGGGGAATACGGTCTACTTATCCCTAAGGGAAAAGGCAAGGAGACGAAAAAAATAGATGCATATATAGAGATTATAAAGGAAATTCTTAAGTGATCATAGTTTTAATTAATTTTTACTCTATATAGTTTCTTCTTGAATAACAGTGTTTGGATTGATAGAAATTGAGAGGGGGTAGAAATAGAATGCTTCCTTCAAACACTGTTTTTCGTTTTCATTATATGAGGGCAGAGAATCAAGAAGTAGGAGAAATTTAAATGGGCCAATTTCAATTTGAGCAGATTTCTTAATAAGGGAAAGGGATAACCATTCTTGAATCTTTAAGTCTCAACTCCTACAACCTTTTCCCTATGAACATTCGGAAATCTCTCACTTGGGTGAGAAGTGTGTAAAATTCATTTCCATTTCTACAAACTTAATCCAAACACGGCCAAGAGAAATACATTTATGAAGGCTTTGTTATACACGTAATTAACCTGAAAAAAAAAAACGAATGTGCATAAGAAATAATAGTTACACAAAATGTGATTCACCTATTTCTATAGATTTTACAGAGAAGTCCAGACAGGCCCAATACAAATTTCTTACTGCAGTGGAGGTGTGATCAAATTTCTTAAACTATCCTTATTGTTTGGTTAATTGACTAAATCTACTCTTATTGTTTGACTATTGCCTTACACTACCTATATTGTTTCTGACAATTGCCTAAAACCCCCTTATTATTAGCGCTCCTTATAAACCGTTTACACATAACATCACGTGCATGACTGTTATAGTTTTCAAAAATCCTCAAGTCACCCCTACTATTTCAAAAATCCTAACTTAACATTACCAGGAAGGAAGATAAATCCATGCAGCACTAGCACTTTCAACGAAGGTAGGCAACAGGACGGTCGAAGGAAAATTGGTGGTAGGTGAAAC